AAGTATTGAGAAACTTTTGTTATTGACCAAATACTTATTTTCCACCATAATTTGCAAATAAATTCATAAAAAATCCTACAATGTGAATTTCTGGATTTTTTTTTCTCATTTTGTCTGTCATAGTTGACGTGTACCTATGAAGAAAATTACAGGCCTCTCTCATCTTTTTAAGTGGGAGAACTTGCACAATTGGTGGCTGACTAAATAGTTTTTTTCCCCACTGTATCTACTAAGCTAGGATATGGAATTGTTTTAAGATGGAATTTGATTTTGAATTTTAGGACCCCTGTAGGTATAAACAAATATATATATATACAGTGGGGAGAACTAGAAGTATTTGATACACTGCCGATTTTGCAGGTTTTCCTACTTACAAAGCATGTAGAGGTCTGTAATTTTTTATCATAGGTACACTTCAACTGTGAGAGACGGAATCTAAAACAAAAATCCAGAAAATCACATTGTATGATTTTTAATGAATTAATTTGCATTGCATAAGTATTTGATCACCTACCAACCAGTAAGAATTCTGGCTCTCACAGACCTGTTAGTTTTTCTTTAAGAAGCCCTCCTGTTCTCCACTCATTACCTGTATTAACTGCACCTGTTTGAACTCGTTACCTGTATAAAAGACACCTGTCCACACACTCAATCAAACAGACTCCAACCTCTCCACAACGGCCAAGACCAGAGAGCTGTGTAAGGACATCAGGGATAAAATTGTAGACGTGCACAAGGCTGGGATGGGCTACAGGACAATAGGCAAGCAGCTTGGTGAGAAGGCAACAACTGTTGGCGCAATTATTAGAAAATGGAAGAAGTTCAAGATGACGGTCAATCACCCTCGGTCTGGGGCTCCATGCAAGATCTCACCTCGTGGGGCATCAATGATCATGAGGAAGGTGAGGGATCAGCCCAGAACTACAGGGCAGGACCTGGTCAATGACCTGAAGAGAGCTGGGACCACAGTCTTAAAGAAAACCATTAGTAACACACTACGCCGTCATGGATTAAAATCCTGCAGCGCACACAAGGTCCCCCTGCTCAAGCCAGCGCATGTCCAGGCCCGTCTGAAGTTTGCCAATGACCATTTGGATGATCCAAAGGAGGAATGGGATAAAGTCATGTGGTCTGTTGAGACAAAAATATAGCTTTTTGGTCTAAACTCCACTCGCCGTGTTTGGAGGAAGAAGAAGGATGAGTACAACCCCAAGAACACCATCCCAACCGTGAAGCATGGAGGTGGAAACATCATTCTTTGGGGATGCTTTTCTGCAAAGGGGACAGGACAACTGCACCGTATTGAGGGGAGGATGGATGGGGCCATGTATCGCGAGATCTTGGCCAACAACCTCCTTCCCTCAGTAAGAGCATTGAAGATGGGTCGTGGCTGGGTCTTCCAGCATGACAATGACCCGAAACACACAGCCAGGGCAACTAAGGAGTGGCTCCGTAAGAAGCATCTGAAGGTCCTGGAGTGGCCTAGCCAGTCTCCAGACCTGAACCCAATAGAAAATCTTTGGAGGGAGCTGAAGGTCCGTATTGCCCCGCGACAGCCCTGAAACCTGAAGGATCTGGAGGATCTGTATGGAGGAGTGGGCCAAAATCCCTGCTGCAGTGTGTGCAAACCTGGTCAAGACCTACATGAAACGTATGATCTCTGTAATTGCAAACAAAGGTTTCTGTACCAAATATTAAGTTCTGCTTTTCTGATGTATCAAATACTTATGTCATGCAATAAAATGCAAATTAATTACTTAAAAATCATAAAATGTGATTTTCTGGATTTTTGTTTTAGATTCCGTCTCTCACAGTTGAAGTGTACCTATGATAATAATTACAGACCTCTACATGCTTTGTAAGTAGGAAAACCTGCAAAATCGGCAGTGTATCAAATACTTGTTCTCCCCACTGTATATATAAATGATTTGATGAAACATTGAATTTGGCCTTTACTGCTGTAGCCCATAGAAACACATTGAATAACACATTCATAAAAGGCAAAACAGAATGTCAAAAAATTAATCATTAGGAACAAGGTTTTGAAGTGTCTGTGCTATATCTGAGAGATATTAGAAAAAAATAAAATGTTTGGTCACTTTATTTTTGGCACATTTGACCCCCTATGCACTTTTTGTAATTTCTACAGCCCAGTACTGGGTTACCTTCAGATGACTCCCCTGAAGCTTGTGTGTGTAGTAGAGCAAAACTGACACCTTTCTGTTCGTGAGAGTCTCCTTTCGTTATTGGTGACATATTATTTTGTAGCACCAACGGTTTGGTCTGGACTGTTTTGTGAGAAGACCTCTTCGAAATATTACTTTGTAGCTCACACGGTTTGGGTTTTACAGCCGATTTCGTGATGATTTTCATGTCCGGATCCTTTCATGTGTAAAAAAAGGGCGCTTTCACAAGCCCCATGTTATGGAATAGGCCCAAACTTTACATCGGCTGACAGCGGAAAGAGGGGATTGCGCTGTAGCCACTACAAGACGGTCAATCTCTAGCATAAACACACCGGTAGCTATACAATATTCAAAATGACGTCACTCTAAAGGCTGGTTCAGTTCATTTCAATATTCATGGCACACATACACACACACACACACACACACACACACAATACTTCCCATTATATTCATCTGCTATATAATTTCTGATGGATGCTTTTAATACAGTTTTCAACAGGCCTATCAATGAAAACGATACATCTGCAAAGAATCCATATAACTTCTTTATTTGATACCTCCCTCACTATGATTTAGAGCCGGAGACAAAATTACACCAGTCAGTCTTGTGATATTCTGTTCCAGAGGAAAGTAATAAACATTTAATCTAATAAGGTCCAACTCTTTCATTTTAAACTGGTATTTCCTGCCAGTTGCTGATACAGTATCTTTGACAATGACTCAATACTCTTATTTCAACATAGGTGGTAAAAACAAAGTGTTAGGAAAATATCTGTTGAGTATCTAACCTCTGGGGACCCATCCTCATTTCATTTGAACACAGCAGCACACCCATGCATTGTCTATCTGTTTGTTAGATTACTGGTGCAGCTAGCTATACCTAAGTGACTGATCACAGTGAAACAGCTGGTTATCTCCTTGTGGGCCACTTATGTTGCATATAAGTTTTGCTTCCTCATTTTATAGGTGTGCTTAATCTAGTCCAGGGTTATTCAACTCTTACCCTACAAGGTCCAGATCCTGCTGGTTTTCTGTTCTACCTGATAATGAATTACACCCACCTGGTGTCCCATATCTAAATCAGTCCCCCCTTTTGCCCTCAGAACAGCCTCAATTTGTCGAGGCATGGACTTTACAGGCTGTCGACAGCGTTCCACAGGGATGCTGTCCCATGTTGACTCCAATTCTTCCCACAGTTGTGTCAAATTGGCTGGATGTCCTTTGGGTGGTGGACCATTTTTGATACACACGGGAAATGGTTGAGTGTGAAAAACCCAGCAGAGTTCACACAAACCGGTGCGCCTGGCACCTATTATCATACCCCGTTCAAAGGAACTTACATGTCTCAATTGTCTCAAGGCTTAAAAATCCTCCTTTAACCTGTCTCCTCCCCTTCATCTACACTGATTGAAGTGGATTTAAGTGATCATAGCTTTCACCTGGATTCACCCAGTCAGTCTATGTCATGGATGTTTTGTACACTCAGTGTAGATAAAATGACCTGGACATCAGTGATCATGTGAAATGGACAGACAGACAGAATTGGACTAACAGGGATTAACATTATAGCATATTTACATTTACATCATTTAGCAGACGCTCTTATCCAGAGCGACTTACAAATTGGTGCATTCAACTTATAGCCAGTGGGACAACCACCTTTTATTATTATTTTTTTATTTTTTATTTTATGGTGGGTAGGGGAAGAAGGATTACTTTATACTATTCCAGGTATTCCTTAAAGAGGTAGGGTTTCAAGTGTCTCCGGAAGGTGACATATCTATGTAGGGGATTGAGCCAACTTCTACAGCTACAATACACTCCTTTGTGCTGGGCTGATTTGCACCGAGTGCCAAGGTTGAACCTACCCACCGTTTTGAAGACGTCCTCTGGGACATGTCTGAAAAGGGCCTGGAGTATGTTTGAAACAATACAACCTCTCCAGAGGAAACTAGAGGAGAGCTACTACATTAGCAAGGGGGTTGAATTTGGAGCTGTGGCAATATAATGTACGGGAAAGTTGCTGCAAAGCAAAATTGGAGTAAATTAATAAACACTGTTTTTATTTGACTGTTTTTATAGAGGGCCTCAAAGAAAAGTATAGGCTCACTAAATCACTGACCCCTGCGCTACGCTCATACGATTGTACGTGCGTTTTCTGTCCGCAAGGTGGCAGTGTCTGACTTGAGAGGGGTAGCGGAGAGGGCTGCATGGGGACCAACCATCCCGAGTTTCATTAGGCTACGGTAGCCTAATCAAGTGGTTGTTTTCTGTAATTATCCTATCCGCAGGTCTACTCGTAGACAGGCCTACCTCTCCTCAAGGAATACTGTTTTTGAATGACATATTTGTTATTTATTTTAATTGTTTAAAAAATCTGATGATACATTACATTGAATAACCCCTCTCCTCTCTCTCTCTCTCACACACACACACACACACACACACACACACAGTCTCTCACTAGCTCTCAGTATGGGCATGTCTTTTCAGGAGACTGTATAGTCTACTTGGAGCGCACTCTCACTTGAATCGAAAGCAGAGGGACAGCGAGCGAACGACCATCACCTCCTAATTGCACACCAATCCATCATATATTTTTTGTGGAAAATGTTCAACTAAAGCCGGTGAGAGTAGGTTAAAAGCTTTTGTAAAGTGTGCACTGTTTTGGAGAGGATACCCAGATCCTTGCGCAGCGCGTTATTGGCCATGGAGTCCTTTACGCACTGCAGATAACAAGTATTTGTGAAATTAAGAAAACAAAGTAATGGATCAAATCTGCAAGTGATTTTTACACGCTCTGGTAAAGTTATGGCCGCGCTACGGAGGAAATTTGGGGAGGACTATCAGGTTGTGAATACAAACCGTGACACCACCGCTTTTTCAGCACCTGTCAAAAAGAAACGCCAGCGGTTCGTGGAGAAGAACGGCCGTTGCAACGTGCAGCACGGGAACCTCGGCGGGGAGACCAGCCGATATATCTCCGACCTCTTCACCACCTTGGTGGACCTCAAGTGGCGATGGAACTTGCTTATCTTTGTTCTGACCTATACAGTAGCGTGGCTGGTCATGGCTTCTATGTGGTGGATCATCGCCTACATCAGAGGGGACATAAACCATGGCCACGACTCGTCCTATACCCCCTGCGTTGCCAACGTTTACAACTTCCCCTCCGCTTTCCTATTCTTCATAGAGACCGAGGCCACCATCGGCTACGGCTACCGCTACATCACGGAGAAATGTCCGGAGGGCATAATTCTCTTCTTGTTCCAGTCGCTGCTGGGGTCCATCGTGGACGCCTTTCTGATCGGCTGCATGTTCATTAAAATGTCCCAGCCCAAGAAGCGCGCAGAGACGCTTATGTTTAGCCAGGACTCAGTGATCTCGCAGCGCGACGGAAAACTGTGCCTCATGTTCCGTGTGGGCAACCTGCGAAACAGCCATATGGTGTCCGCGCAGATCAGGTGCAAACTCATAAAGGTAAGGTAAACAAGCACCAGCTGTGCTCTGCGACACCGGGGTATTTAGGCAACTGATCATAACATGACCCACAGTGATAATTATCTACTAAAAGCCTTTAGAAGTAAGGGGGAATTAAACTCTCGAGCATAAAATGCCAAGATGTTGTGTGCTAATGTCATATTTTATGTGCGTAACTAATTATCATGTATTATATTCACATTCGTTATTTCACATAGCCTATACAGTATGTACTTCTCCATCGCCCCGTCTGCATTTTGGGTCCTAAAATGCTGTGGAAAACAATCAAATCAACCTGAAAGTGGCAAACAGACAGCACAAGAAAATGTAATAAAGGTAATCAAATTGAATACAATAAACCTATAGGAGTCTATCTGCACAATGATAGCAGTTGCATATCAGAGATATTAATTCATCTTCTTTTTCTAAGCTTAATTATAAGCAGGTCTTAGTCCACAGTGTGTGCCTTGTTAAACAAAAAAGTCTTAAAATTGTATTACCATAATCCTTAGTAGTGAGTTTGTATTTTGGCTGAGATAGAGGGTAGCTGGGAGGAGCAGAGAGGGGTTGAGAGAGAGAAAGACAGAAGGGCTGAGAGAGAGATACCTAGTCAGTTGTACAACTGAATGCATTCAACTGAAATGTGTCTTCCACATTTAATCCAACCCCTCTGAATCAGAGAGGTGCGGGGGGCTGCCTTAATCAACATCCACATCATTGGTGCCCAGGTAACAGTGGGTTAACTGCCTTGCGCAGAGGCAGAACAACAGATTTTTACCTTGTCAGCTTGGGGATTCGATCCAGAAACCTTTCAGTTATTGGCCCAAAGCTCCTACCCGCCAGGCTACCAGCCACAGTCACCCTTCAGCCAGTGACATTTAGAATAGCAGGTGGTTTAACTGCGGGACATGGTAATGTATCAGTGAGCTGCTCTGACAGAGAGCTGGGCTCTCAGTTTGAGGTTTGACAGTTAAAACTCCAGCCATGAAACACACATAATCAAATCATCATCAGCCATGGAGCAGTAGACATGCTGCTCACCCCGATCAAGCATGATGTCAAGTCAGAAGTGGCCCTGGACTTAAGACCTTGCAGTAAAGGAATACATCATATTTATAGTGCATGTGAATACATCTCTCATCTTCACTCTCATGTTGTAAGGTCTGGTTTACATCACAATGTGATGTTTGAATAGGACTTTGTAGAGACACTCCAATATGAAACCAAAGAGAGGCAAAAACATTGGTTTCTGGGAACACACACACACAAAACACAGTGAGGCACTTTGAGCTTGTTTATGTATGTGTTCCCCCACTGCGAACACATCAGCACAGCACATTGAGCAGAGCATGGGTCAAATTAATAGCACAAACATCCAGTGTGGCTGGGAGAGAGAGAGAGGCAGGGAGAACCACCACTCTACAGTCACAGCCAGGCAGTCCCCAAAGCGAACAGCCTCCTAGGCACACAGTCAGATCAGCCACAATAGATAGCCCCAAGCAGGGTGTTTCTCTGGGATAAACCCCATCCTCTCTCTCAGCCTCCCAGGCAGACCATTTACAGCAGCTGGAGGGGTGCACCACACCTTTGACAGGGTGCACATTGCTCCAAATGGCTGGTCATTTACTGGAGGGCTAGTCTGTTGATTGATTTAGCCTGTGCAATAATTGAATAGGGCTCAAGCACAGACCCAGGCGTCTTCACAGTATAAAGCTCCCCTACAGTGGGTGTATTTTCAGAGGAAAAAGGATGGGAGAGAAAGGAAGTATCCACTGGGCACAGACGTCCATTCAACGTCTGTGCCCAGTGGAATGACGTGGAAACAACTTTGATTCAACCAGTGTGTGCCCAGTGTGTGCCCAGTGGGTAGGCTATGAGAGGAACACACAGAGATTGCGTCATGAAATACGTGAAGCGCAGGCAGGCACTTTGAGCACAAGTAGTCTCTGACTACAAAGGAAAAATGAAAGAATAAACACCATCCCCATCCTCCTCTCCTGCTCTCTCTTTCTGTCTTTGAGGTACAATCCATGCAGCCCACACTGTATTGTTGCTCTGTTCTCAGGATTCACAGCACAGCCCTTTCACTTCAAAGACCCTTTAGCCAGCACAAAAATATTTCAAGTGTTTGTCATAAATGTACAAATAAGCCTCCTAGTTTTGGGAAAACATATCTGATAACAAATTACTCAGAAATGAATAATATTGAAACAGTTGTAAAAGTTAACATGTATTATAGTCACGAAAAATGCTAAATGTATTCACAGGAATCATGCTATTTTGTAAGTAAATTAATTTGTCTATTTTGTCAGTGCAGTACTAGTAGAGAGATGATGGTGGCGCTGTTGAATCGTGCCCCTCTTCCACCTGTTCCCCCAATCCCCACTGCTACTCACAAATCTGTACAGGTTTTTAAATAGTCCTCTCCACCTTCCATTTAGGTATTGACTTGCCATATGTTCATAAATATAGACCGTAACATGACCTGGCATATTGAATAAGGTGCTAGAACCACATAACACCAATCAGACAAATAGAGCACATATCGGTTGGAGAAAAGCAAAGTCCTGATGAACTCCTGTATTCATTCTTCAGTTAAGTCCTATCATTCATACATACATACATACATACTGTATGACTGTGCAGAATGTGTGTACACAGGTGTGTGTGTGTGTGTGTGTGTGTGTGTGTGTGTGTGTGTGTGTGGCAGTGACAGCTGCTTATTCAGAGGCTCATAAAAGACAGAGGAGTGGATGGGCAGGCAGCATTGGCATGACTCATGTTTGGGTTTATAGCATGTTGTAGTTGAGGCATCTGCTCCTTGTGCCCACGTCTGTCAGTCACAGTCCACATCTCATTCCAGCCAGGACCGCTCACTTCAATCAAACCCACCAATCACACAGCCAACCACAGAATATAATAATAATATAATATGCCATTTAGCAGACGCTTTTATCCAAAGTGACTTACAGTCATGCGTGCATACATATATATATTTTTTTGTGTATGGGTGGTCCCGGGGATCAAACCCACTAACTTGGCGTTACAAGCGCCATGCTCTACCAGCTGAGCCACAGAGGACCACAGACCCCACATCCAAAAAGCAGCGGGGCCAATTCTGCAGGCAGTAACCGTGAAAATAGGCCTATGCAAATATTTATTTTATAAGACTTTTGCTGGATGATTTGACTGGCACTGTGAGCTGGCTGAGCCAAGCGACAGTCCAGTCCTTATCGAATGCGGGCCTGATTGCTGGTAGCTAGGCTGCTTGTTTGTTGTTTGGGGGCAAGTGTTGTGTTGGCTAGCGTGGTGTAGCCTCGCGTAATGCAGCGCTGCTGAAGTGGCTGATCACTAGAGGGGAGCAGGCAGCAGAAGGGCCCAGCTCCATCTCACAGGGCACAGAAACGGACCAATCAGAACTGTCACAGCCGACAGCCGTCCAAACCCAGAGCTGGTGCTGGCAGGGCCAGGCAGACTCAGTAAGCCTCTGCTTGCATCCTGCTGGAACGCTCCTCGCTCTCACACCAAAATATGAGAGAGGCACAGCTGAATGGAGAAGGAGAAGACAAAAGGCTTTAATAGAAAATACAGAGAGAGAGAGAGAGAGAGAGAGAGAGAGAGAGAGAGAGAGAGAGAGAGAGAGAGAGAGAGAGAGAGTGTGTGACAGGTATACATATGTAGGATCTTAATTTGTAGTGTATTTGAGGTTTAAAAAGGCATTTGTAATTTCCACAGACATTTCAGACTTGATTTTCCCTTACAGAGAAATTATCAACCCCTACAAAAATGTCCATTAATAATAATCCACATAATAATCCACATTTCTTGTTGCTGCAGGATAATTTTCCTGTTGTAGCAAACTGGCTCAAGGTGGGAGATGTGGTGTAGACTAGCCAGGCAGGCAGCTGCTATAACTAATTGATTTCCATTCCTCCTTTCTAATAAGAGAAGAGATGCAATTCTAAATGTGGGCTGTGGACAGCTGTGAAAGCTACATAGGGCTTAAGGTTGGCCTTGCAGACATTGATCCTCAGAGCCTGAGACGTCTGATGTGTTGATGCTCTCTACTTGTGAGCTTCTTCAGGGTTGCTGGGGCTCTGAAAAGTATATATTTATGTGGGTACACACGCACACACACACACACACACACACACACACACACACACACACACACACACACACACACACACACACACACACACACACACACACACACACATACAGATGCACACAGACACAGACACAGACACAGACACAGACACAGACACAGACACAGACACAGACACAGACACAGACACAGACCACTGCATCATCCGATCCAAGGCAGTGGAAGGGTTGTTATCTGAGGCAATAAAGGAAGCTATGCGTGAGGTGTGTGGCGGAGTGTGTGTTATTTCTTATATCACTGCCAGAGATCCCGTGACCCGTGAGTGATATAGAAGTGGAATGTGGAAAGCGGAACGGTGTGTCGGTGGAGATACCCTGGAGACAAAAATAAAGCAAGAGCATTTGACTGTAAACCATTATGTTACTCAACAAATGTAGGTTTTATAGTACAGTGTGCTCACAGAGCCACATTAGACTCTTCTTCCTGGTGCTCCAATGTGAATCCCTCTCAGGTTTTTAGGGAACTAGTGGGTGGGTCCTGGCAGCACTGTTACATTAAGCCCTATTTTGGCCATGGCAGTTGTGACCGGAGTCCTTTTCAACCGCTCCTGTCACAGTCCATGAGCATCACACTGCACATTAAAACACGGTTCAAGACAAGAGACAGAGAGAGCTAGCTAGCCTCCAGTTTAGCATTATAGAACAGCCTATTTGCATTTCAGAGTGGATTATATTATTCCCAAGAAAACAGCGATTTCCATTTTCCCTGCATCTCCTCCTTGTGTGAAGCGCTTCCAACCAGCCTCTTTAATTTCCTCAGCAGCCAGTGAACCAGGGACCACTCCAGTCACCTAATCAACACATGCACCGTCGCCTGCCTGCCGCTCGGCCTGCCCCTGATTGATGAGGGCTTTGGAGAGGCCCAGGCATGGAGTGTGGAGATGACTCGGATAACCAGGCCTCTTTAGGCCCAATCAATTTCATTTAGCGCCTGTCCTCAGCCATGAGTCACTCACTGCAGAGATAAGACTCAGAAGACATGGCTCCAAATAGGAAAATTCACTGCGTGGACAAAAAAGGACTGAAAGGCTTTTATTTTTATTTTTAATAAATGGGTGGTTGTTTAGAGTAGTTACTGGAAAAACACACACACACACACACGTTTGTTTTACTATCCTTTGGGGGACCAAACAATTGATTCCCCTTCAAAATCCTATTTACCCTAACGCTTACCCTTAACCTAACACTAACCTTAACCCCTTAACCTAATCCTAACTCCTAGCCATAATGCTAAACCTAACCTCTAACCCTAACCCTAATTGTAACCCTAAACCTAACCACTACGCCTAAAATTGCCTTTTTCCTTGTGGGGACCGGCGAAATGTCCCACTTGTCCGAATTTTCCTTGTTTTACTATCCTTGTGAGGACTTCTGGTCCCCACAAGGATAGTAAAATCAAAAACAGACACACACACACACACACAAAAACAGACACACAAACACACACACACACACAGACACACACAGGTTAGCGTTTTTCATCATGAATCTTGTTCTGGAGGCTAGCTGCCACAACCACAAAGTCATAAAATCTGATTTTAAACCTAACCTTAACCCTAACCTTAACCACATTGCTTACCCTTATTCCTAACCCCAACCTTAAATTAACCCCAACCTTAAATTAATTTTTACAATATAGCCTTTTTGACTTTGCAGCTGGCCTATCTAAGGGGAAATAGCTCAGTTCTGCCTCCAGGACAAGACACAAGACAATAAACATCAACCTGCCAGACATGCACACATCCCAGCTAGCACATTTGGTTCCTTGGAAGTTGTGGGAACGTACATTTTTGGTTTCCCATTGGTTCTGGGAATAAAGCCATATGTTTCCTGACCGGTAAAACTGAACGTTTTTTTATGTTCTGAGAATGGTAGTGAAAATGTTGCCATTTCTGGGAACGTAAATGTTTGGGTTGCAGGGAGGTTCTGAGAATGTATTACTATGGTTCCCTGATGTTTTATAGCGTTGTGCATTACATAAAGAATCTCAAAGCGCTTAATAACGCTCTGAGAATGGAAATTCTAGGTTATTTGGAGCTTTTTGAATAACTTCCTTAAAACTTTCACTGAATGTTTCAATAAGACTGCTAGCTTATTTTTGGTTAACTATTTTAAACTCCAAGCACAGATGTAAATTAATTTCCTTAGGCATTAATCATGCAAACACATATTTTTTATTGTGGCACGGCATCAGTGAGATTCAAACCTATAATCTTCTCTTCTCAATCCATGGAATTAGTCCACTGCACCACCAGAATGGAGCTAGCATGGCATGTTTTTTACGCATACAAAGCTGTTCATTTTAGTCTATTCAAACAGACCACATTTCAAAGGAAACAAGCACTCATTAAGATCAGGTGTGGCCAATTAGAAACACATCGGTGTCCCGTATACGGGACGGTTGAGCTAACGTGCGCTAATGTGATTAGCATGACTGTTGTAAGTAATAGCAAACTTTCCAGGACATAGACATGTCTTATATGGGCAGAAAGCTTAAAATCTTATTAATCTAACTGCACTGTCCCATTTACAGTAGCTATTACAGTGAAAAAAATACCATGCTATTGTTTGAGGAAAGTGCAGAACAACAAAATGTATCACGGCAACTGGTTTGACACATTCACCTCTGAAGGTAAATAATGTACTTATATTCAGTAATCTTGCTCTGATTTGTCATCCTGAGGGCCCCAGAGATAAAATGTAGCATAGTTTTGTTTGATAAAATCCATTTTTATATGCAATTGTAGGAACTGGGTTCTACAGTTTGAACCCTTGCTGTCTCTGGCTCCACACCCACCCCGCCCGGCCATCTTGATGTGTGAAAGTTAGTGTTTAAGCTAATGATCCATCATGTATGACATTCCTGGGAGTGTGTAAACTTACATTTTGTATTACCATATCATTTTTGTATGTTCTCTATAGTTATGTACTTGAAAATGTTTTTTTTCTTTTTCTTTCTCTTGCATTTCAAAGATGATGGAACAAAACAATGAATAGAAAACGCATATTTTTTGGTTTGTATGATCTTTTACCAGATCTAATGTGTTATATTCTCCTACATTAATTTCACATTTTCACAAACTTCAAAGTGTTTCCTTTCAAATGGTATCAAGAATATGCATATCCTTGCTTCAGGTCCTGAGCTACAGATTTGGGTCATTTTAGGCGAAAATTGAAAAAAAGGGTCCGATCCTTAAGAGTTTAACAAGGTAGAGGATAAGAGAGAGTTTTGTTGATGCTGAGAATGGAATGTATATGTTTTTAAATAACATTCTTAGAACGTTCTCTGAATGTTACTAAAGCTTTCTTGTGGTTTTTATGGAACGTTTTCTTAACGTTCTTGGGACAATTTGAGAACATGACTTTAAATAGAACCACGAGGAAACCTGTAGGAAACATTATACTGAAGTACTGAAATTCCCACAGAAGAACGTTGTTTCTTAACGTTCTCTGAACTATTTGAGAACATTCCCAATGTCAAACCAGTTGAAGAACGTTGCTATAACATTGCCAAAATTGAAATGAAATGTAACCATGTTTGAACTTTTAGGAAATGTTCTATTAAAGTAATGAAAAATCAAGAAAATTATGTTTTTTGGTCAAGTTCCTTAAATGTGCTGAGAATGTTCCAAGCCAAACAACTATCGTGCACCATTCCCAGAAAGTTGTGGGAATGTATTTTTTTACATTGTAGAATAATAGTGAAGACATGAAATAACACATATGAAATCATGTAGTAACCAAAAGAGTGTTAAACAAATCAAAATATATTTTCTATTTGAGATTCTTCAAATAGCCATACACTGTAGGATAACCACGCCCTCACCAAGCTCTAAGAAATGTTATGTATCATACCAGCAGTTTGGTGCTGCCTTCTTCTCAAAAGCATCTAGAATTGATAAGTTAAAATTGCCTGTCTGTCTGGTTATGTCAGTGGGAAGGTTAGCATGTTTGTTTGAACAGACAGAGATGTAGAGAGAAAGACTGTGCACCAACAGCTATCTCTGATTCTTCCGCTTTAAAAAGAGAGTGGAGGAGAGTGCCACAGGCACAGGAAGATTTGCTTGTGAGCGTTTGCGATACAGTCATCCGTCTTTTTAATCTTAACTGACACAGACAGCAAGTAAAAAGCTGTATTTGGGCTAACCCACACACAGAAGAACAAAGGCCAACACATTGATTCCTTCTTGATGAATTAATAAAACAAAAATATTTTGTTGTTTCTCTGTAATACTACAGATGTAGGATCTTAATTTGATTACTCTTTGTTGCTGAGAATGTTCCTGCACAGCAGGAAATGCACATTTGTAGT